GCAGGTGGACGCGAGCACTCCCTGAAGGAAAACTTACATTTCCCTGGCAATTGAAGGCCGGCCCTTCTCCTGTGCCTGTTTTATGATGCTAATGGAAACGGGGTTTTCTTGACTTCATTTTTAGAGGTCTTCATTAGTGTAAAGAAATGCAGCTGACTCTCTGTCCATCGGTCCGTATCCTGTGGCTCTGTAGATTCATTTGTTCTGACGCACAGGTTGTGACACACAGGATCACAGCGCCCGCGAGGAGGGGCGCCCTCCCTGTCCTTTCCACTTCGGTGCCTTCCTTTCGTGCTGCACTGACCCCTCGAGCCAGTGCTCCTGGTGCCACAGTGAGCAGCGGTGCCGGTGCCGACAGCGGGTTGTCAGCCTGGGCCACTTCTTAAAAAGCTTTCAGTTCTTCCCCATACTTTAGACTTTTGGTGCTGTCAGCTTTTTTTTTTTAAAGGTCTTGATCATTTTGAGAAACTGTCCTTCCATATCTAAATTATCCAGGGTTTTAATCAAGGAAAGATGCTGAAGCCAGGGGCAGCAGCACATGCCTGTAACCCCAGCACGATGGGAGGCTTAAGCAGGAGGAGGCCAAGCCCACCATGGTCAAACTAGTGACCTGAGACTGCCTTAAAATAAAAAAGGACCAAGGATGTAGCTCAGTGGGAGGGCCCGGGCTTAGTCTCTGGTAGTCACTTAAGAAGAAAATGACGCTGAGCTTGGTTGGACCCCGTTCCAGCGCTCGTGAGACACGCCGGCCGCCTTTCTGTGCTGTGGTGCGCCACGCTGACAGGCGCTGTGGCAGCAGCCCCACTGTGACGCAGCCCCGTGGGCATGCCGCTCGGGGTTCCGAGGCAGTTCACAGAGGTCATCACAGCTACGCTCATCAGAGCTACTGGCCTACAGTTTTCTTGCAGGGTCTTTGGCGACGGTGTCAGCATTATGTTGGCCCCATAAAATGAGTTTGGAAGTATCCCCTCTAGTTCATTCTTTGAAAGAAGGAGGCTTAGTTTCCGGAATGTCTGGCAGAACTCAGCTGTGAAGCCATCTGGCCCCGGGATTTTCTGGCGGGAGGTTTTCCTCGTCTACTTCAATCTCTCTTTCACTGCTTTGTTCAGTTGCTCTAGGTTTCCCTGACTCAGCCTTGGTAGAGGATGATTCTAGGAACCGACCCCTCCGCTGGGCTCTCTCATTCACTGGTGTATAATTGTTTATAACAGCCCTTCCGATCCCTGCTGTTTCAGATGCATCCACTAAACATTTCTGCTTGGTCAATTTTGTTCTGGGGAAAACCAACTCCTCATTCTGTTAAGTTACAGGTTTTCTAATTCCTTTATGTCTATGCTTCATTATCTCCTTCCTCTTACTAACCACGAGCTGACTTGCTCTCTGCTACGTTCTTTAGGTGAGTCCTGGTTGTCTGCGCTCTCTGTCCTTGAATGGAGGGACTGACAGCCACCAACTGCCCTCTTGGCACTGCCTTTGCTGCAGCGCGTAGGTGTGGTACGCTTCCATTCTCATTCCTCTCCGGGTGTTTTTTTTTTTTTTGCTTCTCTTTTATCTTTCTGTTTGACCGCTGGTTGTCTGGGCTCCTGTTTGGTTTCCACAGACTTCTGCACTCACCAGGCTTCCTCTTGGTACTGACTGCTGGTTTCACACCGCCAGGGTCAGGTAAGACACTTGATACGATTTCAGTCTCCTCAAATTAGCTAAAATTGTTTTGTACCATAAGATACAATTTGATGAGAATGGTTCATGCACATTTGAGAACAACTGGTTTTGAGCTACTGCTGAATGGAAGATTTCATGTACATCTGCTAGGTCTGTTTTAACCTAGAAGTACAATGTCCCCTTACTGATTTTCTGTCTGGATGATCTACTGATTGCTGAAAGTGGGCTACTGAAATCCTGTACTATTATTGTATTTCTGGCTATTTCTCCCTTCAGATCTGTTAACAATTACTTTATATATTTAGGTACACTGACACTGGGTGAGTATATGTTTATAATTATTGCAGCCTCTTGAATCTATATATAGGATAATAAACTTTATAAGGTCTTATAAGAAATGAATATGATGCTGGAAAAATAAAAAGAAGGTGGAGGGATGGGGAAAAGAAGAACTGCAATGTGTGATCACATGTACCGATTCCCACATGGAATGGAATCATTTTGTACTGTATACAGACTAACGAAAGAAAAAACTGTTATATGCTCTTGATGAGTTGATACAAGACTTTTCCTGACATCTAGTTCCAATACACAGTTTCTACAACCAAAGCCTAGAACTACCCAGTGGTCCTTCTCTTTACCTTTAGATTGCTAGTGTTTTCACTATCCTTTGTTTCTAAGAGCTAGCCTCGGCCAGAGGAATGGGTCAGGGAAGTTAAGCTTGCCTTTTCCCTGTCTGCCTTCAGGGTGAAGACAGTAGGCACCAACCCGGTCGTACGAGGCCCCCTAGTGCTCAGGACGCGGAGTTTCCGCAGTCCCCACACAGGGAGACTCGGAGGGCTCCCCTCCCGCGCCCCCAACAGTTAGAACAGCTGCGGCACCGCCTCTCACCCGCTTGTAGAAAATTCCACGGCAGGCACCAGAGGTACGGATGAAATGTAAAAGACCTATTCTAATTCACCTTGAATTACTCTGAGCCAGCTTTCCAAGGACAAGAAAATGCCTGGAAAATCCTAAGCGATATTTAACAATATTATTATTTTTCAAAGTAATGGTAACGTTACATTTTACTTTGTTTACATTGTTTACTCCTTGATCTAAGCTATTACTACATCGCTATGTAACACTCAGAATATTTAAAGGTTTAAACAACAAAACAGTATGATTAAGTCCTTTATAAGGAGGGTGTACCATCTTATGCAATTTTTAAAAGAAAATTTGACAAAGTCAGTACACATTATTTCCCTCAACAGCCGCTCCACCTCCTAAAATTCCACTGCGCTTCATCTGCACATTATAACTACTATCGTATTTCTTATAAGGATGTCCTTCAGTGCCATTCTCTTTCTTATCACTATGTCTTCCTTGGCATTTAGGGACGGGCTGGGCAGCGGGCTCTGAATGACCCCCTGGGAATGAAGCCCCCAGACTGTGGACAGGGCACCTTCCCTTCTCATGAGCCTGCTGCCCCCTCACTTCCGGGGTTCCGAGAACAGCACAGAGCTGCCTTCCTCTGAGCGCTGGGGAGAACTCTTCCTCCTCTTCAGTCCTCCTTCCCACCTAACTGGTGGGACTGGGGAGGGGCTCTGGACCCTGACTCACGCTTCTCTCTGGGATGCGGACCACTGCTGAGTCTCCCCGCACCAGTGAGCTCGAAGCTGGCTGTGGGGAAGAGGACCCAGGGCCCAGCCCTGTGCCTGAGAGTCAGCGGGTGAAGGACAGACACGCAACACTCCCTGGCACCAGCCATAATCTATGTGTCAGTCTCCAGCTTCAGCATGTCTTCTAGTTGTAGGATAATTTAGAGAACGGAAAATGCCTGACCAATTTATCATCCCAACAACAGAGTGGGTTTAAGATGATCTCTTTCATAATTCATTTTCTGTGCTTTAAACATTTTTTTGAGTGCTAGAATCTTGAGCATCACCCTGCATACACCTGAACATACATCATCGTTCTTCATGCGATGACAAAGGCCAAGATCCATGGGACCAAGGTCTTACGTTTAGGTCAATGACCATTTATTGTCCTATACTCTACCTTAAGTGGATGCATCTATATCTTTTAAATAAAAAATAGTTCCCTGAATATACATACCAAGTCTAACTGGATACTGCTTTTGTGTCATTTATTAAATAACGTAAGACAATTTAATACACTAAATTAAAGTTTTTCTTGGTCCTGACCAAAGAAATGATTCCACGTGGCAGGTTAAAGCCCTTTCCTTAGCTCAAGAACAATATCTGCCAGCTGTGGTGGCATTCATTTGAAATCCCAGCTATCAGAGAGGCAGAGGCAGGAGGACTACAAAGTCGAGGTCAGCTTGGCTAACTAAGACTCTGCCACACTAATATAAAAACGGCCAGGGATGGAGCTCAGTGGCAGAGCACTGGCCTCGCATCACAAGATCTACTACCAACACACACGAAAACAAACACACACCTGAAGGGTACTGAATTTGAAGGAGGTCTCAGGCACAATTTCCTCCTGTACTAGTGACTGAGCCCAGGCATGCTAGGCAAGTTTTCTACCACTGAGCTAGACACCCATCCTAGTACAACACATTATTTTAAAGTGTACCACAAATCTGTATAAAATTCATAAAAATGTATCAGGATATCTGAATAAAGGATTCTGTTTGGCTTGGCTTGTAAATTATCTTATTCTTTTTCCTTATTTTCTTTCTTAGTGTGACATCTAAAAGGAAAAAATGAAAGCACAACTAACATCCAGCATTTAGCCAATGCTCACACATCATATTCATTCAGTACCAATAGCCGTCCTCAAATTCACATTTGCATTCAAATAGTCCCACAGACTCTGTAAATTCTGTCACTATGCATCAGGAATTACTGGTATATGACAACTCCCCCTGCACAAACTTGGTCCGTTTCTGATGGGGGACACAGTATTGGTGAATTCCAAGTACCACCATAAACTTATACTCTTTCATAACTTTGCAGGACACAAAACGCAACAACACAGACCAACTCCTGGCTGGCCGTGCTTTCAGAAGAGCAAAGATCATGGACAGACCTGTGTTCAAGCTTTCTACCAGTGATTATGTGGGGCCAGATCATAGAATATCTGGGAGCCTCAGTTTTCTTAATATGAAGTTACAGATGAGAACCCTCATTTTATAGAGTTATAAACAGGAAAAAAAAAAAAACCACATGAGACCCACAACACACAGCAGGTGTGTAAAACATTATATATTGTTCCAATCAGTCCCAACCACCACTGTCAAACAGATGGGTGTCACCATTGGCTCATGGTCCTGCTGCAAAAATATTTACACAAAAACTTTGGATATATAATTTAGTTTCAAGTCAACTTACCTAGACAGGAGTACAAACCCTGACTTATCCAAGCTAATATGGCGAGGGTTATAAGGTCACCAAAGCTGGCGGCAATGGGTGTAGCAACATTATCAGGATTTATGCCAGTCTTCTTTGAACCAACAATAACACCAACCATTATTATTCCTAGAAGAAAGAATGTTCATTACTCTTGATATTAAGATTCAAAGAACATCAGTACCTCAGATACTAAGACACACAGGGTAGAGGAATGGCTCTGGTTAGACTGCCTGGACAGGCTCATTACATAAACAAACCCTTCCCTGCTTTAGTGTGCTGGCAAAGCCCTTTCCAACTAACTCCAAGTGGAAATCATAGAAGAACGGAAAAGCTCAGTGTTGCATCTAAAGAACTGAATACCACTGTGGATTTTTTTTTTTTTTTTTTTGGTTTTTTTGAGACAGGGTCTCTCTATGAAGTTCAGGCTGGTCTTGAGCTCATTTTGTAGCCTAGGCTGGTCCTGAACTCAATGATTCTCCTGCCTCAGCCTCCTGAGTGTTGGGATTACAGGTGCGAGCCACCACACGTGGCTTGTGAAATTTTATGAAAGCTAAAATTTCCAATTCACTAATTTGCATGCCTTAGATAATATATGTGTGTGTATTAGGTTCAGAGACTTAAAGATTAAAGAAAGGTGAGTCATATTTATATGCATAGCAATTGAGAAGACCAACAAAAACAGATTTGTTCACATATGGCAGCTAGAAGTGCTTGCTTTGTTTTATTATTAAGTGTTGAAGGATTAAGAAGCAGGAAGTAATTAAATTTTGAACAGTGGAGTCCAAGAACACAAGAAATAGTCTTTGTAAAAGTGCTTTTTTGTTGTTTTGTTTTGTTTTTGTTAAGTTGTTTTGCTTTTGTCGTAATGGATTTTCAATCCAGGGAGTACTGAGCTATATTCCCAGCCCATCCCGCCTTCCAGGACAAGGTTCTGCTGAATTGGCCAGACTGCCTCAAATTTGTGAATTTTGAGCATTAGCCTCTTGAGCAGCTGGGATTACAGACTTATGCCACCCCATCCAGCTAAAAACTATGCTTTAAACCTCAACTTTCGGCCTCTAAAACCTGAAACAAAGTAACAGAGGATGAAATAGTGACTCTGTAGTGGCACTTTTAAATCCTTATTTTCTTGAATCATATTAAGGGGAGAAATACAAGCTTGTGTCCATACCCAGTTATATAGACCTGACTCCTGCCAGCATATCCACTAAGAAGATGCACTACAGAGAAAATTGTAAATGTTTAGTTGATTTATGTACAAACTGTAAGTCAATAAGAAACCTAAATTAGCTATGCAAAAAAATTAACAGAATCATGCTGTACTTTTAGAATAAAAATGTCCATGTACGTTTCTGATTCCTACATACTAAAGTTATAGCTACTGTAACTAGCTAACTGGGGTTCTGGGGAGTAGAGTTTAAGTTTTGCCTAAGGTTATACTGTTCATGAGTCTAGACCAGTGTTTTTACTGTATCCCATAAATCCCATAAATTCTATAAACCCAGAATTTTGTCTTGGGTCAGCTATGTTTTGTATCTTTTACTCTGGAATCTTTTTCAATTGCTGGACTTTCCTTTTTCAACATATCATTGCAAAAATAGAGAAAAAAAACCAACAGAATAATAGTTTTAAAAATATACTATGCTATGTGATAGTCTGACAATCGTAATGTAATGTAATTGTAATGATGACAGAAACTTTTTCCCCAAAATCAGCACATTTAACAATCTGTGTGGGAATTTCTCCAGGATAGTGGCTATCACATCTTCTCAGCTGAATGCAAGTATTTCACATGCAGCACAGCCAGGTGGAGAGAGCTGAGAGCCAGAAACCTTGGGTCTGAATTTTGGTTCTGCAGCTGACCAACTGATGCGACTGCCCGCCTGTCTGGACGAACTTCCTCCCCAGCTGCCCATAGGTTTAGCAGGTTAAAGAGCCAGGTCATCATAAAACCAGAACACATACTATTCAAAGCAAACAGCTTTAAACAAACATACAGCATTTTAACACTGGGATATTGTTGTTTTTGAGATGAGGTTTTGCTGTGATGGTCAGACTGGTCTTGAAGTTATTGTCTTCCCAGGATTGCGTAGAACTTGTAGCAATCCTCCTGCATCAGACTTCAGAGTGCTGGGATTACAGGCACACATTATCACACCTAGTTTTTTTAAAAACTAAGTTTTTTGACAGTTTTGAAAATCCTAGGCATTTCAACACTTGCTAGACTAAAAACCTGTATGTATGCATACATATATTTATTTTTGAGACAAAGTCTTGCTTTGTAGTTCAGGTTGGCCTTGAACATACAATGTAGTCCATGCTGGCCTCAGTCTCTTGTGATCCTCCTGTTTCAGAATCCTGAGTGTTGGGATTACAGGTGCACTGCCATGGTCAGCTTATACTGAAAAATTTTAAAATACTTTCTAAATGAAATCAGATGAAAATTTTAAGATACTTTCTAGATGAAATCAGAAAAATAAAAACAATAATAATGATGTTTTTAAAATTTCCAAAAATAAAAATAAACAAAAAAAAATTTTTATTAAATAAATATATGAAACTAAATCACAAAGACAGCAGAAGTGGGCCTATAAACAGGGTATGTATCCTATAACAACTTTTTTATTTTATCAGAAATTCTATTTTCCAATAGTTTACCTAAATTTTGCTTAGGCAGTGCTAACTCCATTCAACTCTAATAATTCTATGTAAAGTCAAACTGCCCTTGATATTATTTAAATACTAAAATAAAATGCTTGGGAATATTTCAAAAGTCACCTAAATTTGATAAGAATTCACTAAACTCCCAAAATCTAGCTAAAAAGTAAGCTCCACTGTAAAATCACCTGGCAAGAGAATTTTCCATTTTTTAGCTTTGCTGATGATAAAAAAAGAAGGCAAGAAGACTGCAGTTATAAAATCAGAAGAGGGGCCGGGATCTAGCTCAAGTGGCTTAAGTGCCTGCCTGGCAAGCGTGAGGTTGTGAGTTTAATCCCCAGTACAAAAAAAAAAAAAAACAAACCCAAAAACAAAAACCAGAAGAGCCAGTCTTTCTGATTAGGAGCCCATGGTGAACCAGCTGTCTGGTGCAATGCTCACATGGGTAAACACAGAGATAACCCCACTGAGAACCCACTTGAAGTTCGGTCCTACTGCCAACAACAAGCTGTCCTGGATGAGGTCAGACCTTCACTGCCACAGAGAAAAGAAAGCATTTTTTTCCCAAAATCTGACAGTTTTAACAGAGGGACTGCTTTTGAAACTCAGAATTCTCGGAACACTTGTTACTCACAAGATGAGCCAGTAAGTCCCTAAACAGTTTCCAGAAAGGATTTTCCCAATCATCTGGCTCACAGAAACAAACAAATGTCTCAGCTGTTTTTCTGATTTTACTGGGGGAACATTCAGCCTCAGAAGGCCAGTTCTAGGGAACACCATAAAAGTCTGGGATGACCTTCTTCTCTTTTAATCATGACCAAGTATCACTTAAATAAAGTCACTATCTTGAGAAATAAATTATTTAAAAATAAAAGCCTCGTGAAGCGTGCTTTAGCCTATAACCTCAGTAATCAGGAGGCTGAGGCAGGAGAAGTGCTGCAAATTCTAGGCCAGTCTGGAACACAAAGGCAGATGCTGTCAGCAGAGAGAGGGAGACGGAGAGGAAGGACGGATGCTGGGCTGCGGAGCAGGCAGCTAACCACACACTCACCCTGCAGAAGAGACGCAATGAAGGCAGTCGCCACGCTGCTGGAGCACAGAAGTACGGAATGATCGAGGTAATACTTTCCTTCGGGAATCCAGCCCAAAATAACTGCTGCCACAGCTGCTAGAAAGCCAACTACTGTAGCCTGAACCTAAATATAAAACCAGGTGAATTAGAAACTTTCAATGCATTTACGCATTTACGTTTTCCCATGTAAACACTCCCTACAGGAGGGAGGAGAAAGCGCGGCCGTGGTGACCGAGCTGCTCCAGCTTTCGCAGCAGCCCTGTGGGTGCTCTGGCGGTCGGGTGGCTGAGACAGTGGGCTGGCCCTGGCACTCCAGGTGGTGGCTGAGCAAACGGCCTGCACCAGACCTCACAGGGCTCGGCCTGCAAGCAAGGGCTGCGCTGCCGCAAGGCTGATGCTGGCACCTTCCAGGTGGGCCGCTGGCTGACATCTGTGAACCTGGCGCCTGCGTGGTTGGGGTTTTTGGTTTCTGGTGTCTTTTATAATAATGGGCACTGCTCACACCTGCTAGCCGCAGGCTCTGCCGTGCAGCTCCATGCCAGGCCTCTTTTCTTTTTGTTTCTAAGGCAGGATCTGGCTGAACTGTCCCGGCCAGCCAGGAACCCAGGAACCTCCTGCCTCCCGACCTGGTGTCTGGGATCACAGGCATACACCTCCAAGCCTAGGTCCAGCCAGAACTCGCTCAGATTCCACTGGGTACCACGCACAAAGCTTTGTGTGGGCCGCAAATCTATTCCTGCTCCAGGGTTGCTGATCACTGGAGACAGAGATGTCCAAATGTGACCTCACGGTCAGATACAGTGGTGCAGGCCAATGCCTTGGGAGGCTGAGGCAGGGACTTTCACAGCATGTCTACCCTTCACGGCCAGGAAGAGGCATAAGTTCAGGCCCTGCCCACACTCCTCTGCTTGACAAGCTGAGGTAGGAAGTGCTCCAGGGAGAAAATAACCTTTCCCGAAGCCCACCACCACCCTCCATCTTCTCTTCCTCTTGCTCCTGTCTGCTGGTAACTGGGCTCCGGCCCTGCGGCCTCCCTGGCTGGCACCACTGGGTCTTGACAGCCCTGGCTGGCTTCCGTGGTCTTCACACAGCCAAGGTGGAGGAGGCAGACACAGGCAGGCATCGGCCACGGACAAGCAGGACCAGAGAACTCCCAGCCCCTCTAGCAAGCATCAGGAGCAGTTTTGGGAGGAAGGATGACAAGAGAAAGGAGGAGACTAGGAGTGGAAGGCAAGTTAAAGGCTGACAGGGAGATTGTTAGAATGATCTGAGGAAGAGTTTACACACACCCCATCCTACATCATAAGAGGTCAGGGTATTTAAACCAAGCATGGTGGTGGTGCACTCCTATAATCCCAACACTTTGGGAGGCTGAGGCAGGAGGGTTATAAACTGAAGGTTGGCCTGGACAACTTAACGACTTAGTGAGACCTTGTCTCAAAATTTAAAAATAAGAATTAAACAAAGCATTGGGGATGAAGCTGTGCAAGGCCCCAGGTTCCACCCTTCACCCCAATTCAGGGAAGTGGTGCCACAGTGGGCTGTTTGCATTATTAGTGCTCTAAAAGGTGAGCCACTGCTGGTAAAGGGCATTTAAAGAGCAGCAGCAAACATATTGTCAGAGCTGTGATTTTAGTGCCCTCTGGGTCCCTGCCTCAGTATTTTCATTCCACCTCTGCATGGATTCTTCCTGTGCCAGCTGAATAGGGTCTTCAGTTTCTCTCGTGTACTAGTGTGATTTAAAAGTGAACAGAAAGGCCAAGTAAGCGAGGAAGGCCGTGCAGCTGGTTCCTGTGAGAGTGGAGATCGGGTCCCAGACTGACGCATATCCAGTCCTAGGCAGCTGCACGTGTCTTGGAAACACGGCCCACACTCCAACCACTCCGTCACACGGAATTACGTTCCTACAGCCGTAATCTCAACCATGCACCCTGAGCGAGCCAACGTTCACATCGGTGCGCACCTGCGTGGCTCACGCTAGCTGAGGGTTCCTGGGTGCAGAAGCAGCCTTCTGGGCAGGAGCCTGGAGAGCACATGGGGGAGGCAGAAGACTTCACATACTCAAGCTGAGGTCAGAAAGAGCCGGAGTCTGTGACCACCTGTGCCTAGGGCCTGTGTGCCAGCCTACATCCCTCCACCCTCTGAGAGGCTGACGCAAGGGTCACGGGAGCCCAGGCATTTGAGGTCAGGTTGGGCAACACAGCAAGACCTTGTCTTAAAGAAATTAAGTACAAAAGTAGCACTAAGTATTAAGTCACTATCTGTACAAAATCTGGGTCTGTTAGTTATGACAGGGAATATTTCTTAAACTTTTCCATATTTTATATTTCATATTTGGAAGAAGTTGCTGTGTTTCTAGAGAAAGAATAACCCTCAGAAGTCATTGATTCCATCACTGTTTCAAGGGGCTAAATCACTGATCTGATGCCTTTGAAACACTTAAATGACAGACTTGATAGCACTGAATTTTGCTCCATTCTTAAATGACACTGAGATCTGTAAACTCAAGATCTGCAAACACATGTGTTTCACTCACCTGCTTCAAAGCCAGGTTGCCGATTATGAGGTTCCATTTCTCGATGGGTGAGTCCATCTTCCCAACGTTCACCTGTTAAGGAGGGCATTTTCACGCATCACTGAATAACTAGATGTTGCGCCTCTGTTTAAACAGCAACACATGAAGTCTCAAAGCACAAGAGAATTATTCAGTAAATCTGATGCATTTTTATAGCACTTTAAATATGGTTCTGGATTTGTGCCAGGCACGGTGGCACATGTGTGTAATTCCATCATTCTGGAAGCTGAGGCAGGAAGATCACAGATGCAAGCTTAGGATGGGCAATTTAGTGATTTATTAAGACTTTGTCTCAAAATGAAACATAAGGGCTGGGGATGTAGGGCATGCGGAGGCGTAAAGAGGTGGCTTCAATCCCCCATAGCACAGCCCCCACCCCTCTCCCAGAAAACACCCGAATTTATTACCAGTCTGTCTTCTAGCATATGGCTTAGTTGAGATGTTTACAAAATACAAAACTAATTTTTTAGTTAACGATCTTAGAAGAACCAGTCATTTTACAACGGATATCAGCAGGTATCATCTTTTACACACCTATTTACATATATATCTTCTATTACACAACTAGCTTGACCTCGCTCGGTACCGACAACTTGTTGGTCTCCTTAGGGAGTGGAATAGGAAACCCCTGCCCAGCGCACTGCCCCTCTGCTAGGGCAGGTCCCACACAGCATCACTTCCTGAACGGTCCTGCCAACTTCTCAGCCATGAACACTGAGGCACAGGAGAGTCGGGGAATTCACCACAGTCACAGCTAGTAAGCGGCAAATCTAGACTCTGATTCAAGAGCCAGTTTTGAATTTCCGGAGCTATTTTTCAACATCTTTTACTTCTCTTGAGTCAACTTTATTTTTTAAACTTTTATCAGTCCATGTTTGCAGTACAGAATAATCACATTTCCTTGCGGGGAGTTGACACACATACATGTATGTTCAACCCTTTTTATTTTCCCCTCCTCATGAGTCAGCTATAGTATTTTACATATGTGCAGGAAAGCATATAGTTAATCTAGATTTTAAAATTAGCATGATTCAGACTTCAAATTTTGGTGTGAAGGCCTACACTTATATCTAAATAAAACTATTTTATTTACTTTTATTTTTAGTGCTATTGGGCTTATAAAATATCTGGTCTCCATACGTATGTCTGTCTCACACACCCCCCCTTATTTCCCCGTCATGCCATCTCCCAGCCCCCGCCCCCCCCCCCCCCCCCCCCGGTCAAGGAGAACCTGGGGACACGCGTCTCTCTGAGTCTGGCTTATTTTGCTCAACGTGATGTTCTGGCAAGGTGTTACCGTAAGCCAGATTTTGTGTACAGAGGCCCAATGTAAATAATGACATAATTCTGAGCTGACAGCATTTACCTCCACATCGAAAAACTAATGTAATTTGGAGAACTCTTGATCAAAACACTCAAGATAAAAACAAATCAATTATGTATGCATAACCCATATCTGAGTCATGATTTAAACTGTTAACATTAACAATTTATTCAGCACACATATTTTAACCATTTACTTCACCTATTAAAATGCATACATCTTTTTGCTGAGTGGAAGAATACTCTAAGATAATTATCCACATACTCAATTGCTCCAAGAGCTAGATCCTATTTCTCAACCACTTAGGATTCCGAAAATATATGTCCAAGCTTGCTAAGTTTTTCTAATGCACTCATTTAGAAAGAAAGAAACAATCATTGGTTTAAAAAAATCCTACACTGAGCTGGATTTCAACTCCTCATCATCTGTATAGTCATGGAAGATTTTCAAATGTTAAAACAACCCACAGGTAAACGGGCCAAAACAGAGAGGCACTAGTTTTCAAGGGCCAACTTCAAGTTCAGGCAGCCGCTGGCTCCGTAGCAGCGGGTACCTGCCCTACCAACATTTCCTCTACCAAAGCCGAAAGCAGACTCTGTAATCTCACTCTGGACTTTGGTCTCAAGTCCGAGATACACAAATATTGAGTTCTCAGTATTTCTGAGTTAGTCATGCAGTCTTTATTTGTATATTTCTCGATTAAACCTGGGAAGTGAAATCATTGATGAAATTCATGCACTAATACCCCAGGGTTCTGCTCAGGTAAGTGACAAGGGACGAGCAGTGTTTAAAGAGGAACTGGATCAGGCTGAGAGCTCCAGAAACAGGCCCGGGAGAAATCAGTAGTTCTTTTACTATGGTTGGAAAATGTCTGCAGCTACAGAACGTAGTCTAAGATGCTTCCATGAAAAGCGCAAGACAGCAACACAGGGTCACTGAATGAGCAGCGGAGGGAGGAGGCGTGGATCCAGACGGGACAGCGCTCTGAGTGCCACGGCCTGGGCCCTTCAGCACCGGCCCCCACTGAGGTGGCGCTGTGCTGCTCAAGATCCAGGTGCCCACAGTGTCCAGGTCAGCCAGGGACACAACTCCTCTAAACCTTGGAAGGTGAACGGGAAGCAGAGGCCAGCTTTTCTGGACAGTGGGTGGACACAGAAGGTTCAGACTCCTTGCTGCAGGGCAGATGGGGTTTTCCTGGTCTGCACCGGCACACTGGACATTCTGCTGCTCTGAATGTCCTGTTCCGACCCTCACACTGCCAAAGGTCCTCGCTCCCTCACTAAATTCTTTATGGCTACACTAGATTCTATGGCTGTTTTCTGGACCAAACCCAGACATATAGTACAACCTTATTTAATTAATTTGTCATACTATTTAATTAGTTTTCTGGCACACAGAACAACTCTTGGCATACAGTAAGAATCAAAAATGTCTGAATTATCTAAGTGTGGTGGTGAACACCTATCATCCTAGCACTCAGGAGGCTGAGGCAGGAGGATCACTGAGTTGAGGCCAAGCCTGAGCTACATAGCAAGTTCAAGACCAGCCTGAACCACACAGCAAAACCCTGTCTCAGAAAACCAAAAAAATTTTCAATTCATAAATTAGAAAGGTTAATTACAAAATAACTCCAGAGAATCAGGTGCTCTCAGAGAAGAGGTTTGAGGCCACAGAAGACAGTTTTGCCTAGAGTAGAAAAGTACTAATTGGGTTATGCCAGACAGCTTGCTCCTGGGAACAGTTTCCAGGCTTTACAGAATGCATTGTATCTAGGGCAGTGGACACCATTTTTGAATCTTTTATGTCCAGCATTTGGAAGCAGAAAACACTAGAACTCAGATAACAGAACTTACAGAATCACTGTACTTGCTTAATTTTTCAACTTTACCGTTACATATCTGTACTTTTTATATATACTGTTGAGAAATTAGTCAAATAAAGACCATGCCTTTAGAAATAAATTTCGACTAAGTAAAAGGGCAAGATGAAGTTGATTTGGATTCATTTCCTTGTTAAAATAGTAATTTACTGAATTTTCCTGTGAACACTGAATCCTTAGTTTTATAGCATATCAAGCTTTAAGGACAACTGACCCCCAGCAGCTTGAGTGAGTGGGCTGTCTCTTGTATTCTGTTTTAACTTCTCGGTCTATTCTGAGGGCCTGACGTATGATACTATAAATTCATTTATCTTGATTCTGTGGAGAATCGTAAGAATGAGAAAAGATCCTTTAGTGAAATAAAAAATTAGTCACAGATTGGTCTTCTATATCTACAATGATTTTTTTCCTCTGCTTTTTATAAGTGAAAATAAGTGCTTAATTTTTAAGAACTCCATAAAGGTTTTCAAAAGAATTATTTTTTTGCACATACATGCAAAGCCCAGCTTTCAAATGGCGCTAGTTTTAACGTTTGTGCTTCACTCCAGAGCCAGGCAGCACTGGCTGGAATCTGCTGCAGCGGTCCAGGTAGACAGCAGCCCCACATCAAGGGAGAGGTGGGGAAAGGAGGAAAGAGGAACTTCACCCTGGAGTGATCCAGGAGACACAGCCAGCTGGAGAGCAGAAAGGGCCAAGGTGATGGCCATGGTGATGAGCTGATCAGAAATACAGTTTAAAAAAAAAGCACAGCTAGAATAAGAAAATATGAGTTTAGTCTTGAATGTGGTCAGAAGCATCCAGCAGATGCCTGAAAATTCAGCTCTGGGATCAAGAATGAGACTGGAGATGCGGATTTTAGCACTTTCAACACGTTAAGCAGTAGTGGAGCACACGAAGGAGAACAGAAAGAACGTGACAAAAAAAAAAATTTCCAGACAACTTCAAATTAAGAGGATGCACAAAGAAAAAGAAAGCAAGATGCAGCAAGGAAGGGAGTAGGGAGTTAGGGGTGCAGTCACAGTCAAGGGGCCCTGGGCTATGTAAACCAGTGGGAGGATTCAGTGACGGCTGCGGGGGGCGGCTTTGGGAGGTTGCCATGGGGAAGCTGGTGAACACCGGCCTTGCACGGAGGAGGCCTGTTATCCATCCTCAAAATACCAAAAAACTAATGATCACCAGCCGTTAACCTGAACCTGCTCTAACAGCTGGCAGAGTATTAGAATACACTGGACAATGATTCAGTAACATTCTGTAAGCCAAAACTGATCAGAAGAAGCAAAGAAAGTCACTAATATCGCCCAAGGGAACAATTCAAGTAGAAGAGCTAACAACTAAAAACATGTATGCACCAAACACTGCCACACCCAACTTCATAAAACAAACCTAAGAGCACATGAACATCAACACGCTGAGAGTGGGGACCTAGACCCTGCTGCCATAAACGATCAGCTAGACAAAAGCCAACAGACAATATCAGAGTTGAACCATAACTTCCAACAAGTGGACTTGTGAGCCATCTAAAACATGCTCTACCAACAACAGAATACCCATTCTTCTTAGGACTCATAGGACTTTCTCCAAAATAACCCACATAAAGCATGATTAAATAAATGCAAAAGAATCACATTAACTGTGCACATTATCAGATCACAGTGCAATGAAACTATCAATCATGGCCAAAAACCCCACAGAAATTTTTCAATCACATGGAAATTATAAATACACCCTTGAATAACCAACGAGGCACAGAAGAAATCAAGGAAGAAATCCTAGAATCCAAAAATGGTAGTAAAACATCCGGGACACCACGAACGCAGTCCTAAGAAGGCG